CCCTGATATGATGTTTCTGACAATCACTGCTCGTCTTACACAATATTGAAAAAATCTTGTATTGTGATATTTTATTATTCTGCGATAAATATTGCAATATGAATACATTTTCACAAGATGGTTTAAACAGCTCTATTTGATGGTTTTCTGGGGAGTCTAAAGGCTGATTTATACTTCTGAATCAAGCGCACACATAGCCCTCGCCGCTTCTAACGCACACCTCTCAAAAAATGTAACTACCTTGCAATGACGCATAGCGCACGCTATGTGATTGTACATTCGTTTTCACATTCTGATTCCAATACCTGATTATTAATAGTTAAAATGACTATAATTAAATGAAGTATATCTTAAGAATAAAATATCATGTGTTTGGAAGAGTGTACTTGCATTATGGTGATATTATATTGCCATTCTGATATTATGAGTGGCATAAAATGGCTTTAGGATGACAATAATATTGTTTATCTCAATATATTTCGGTGCAATATATCGTAAAATAAAAAATAGATATCATGACAGGCCTAGTTATTAGCATTCTTATGAATAGGGACAGTACAATAACACTAGTCCAGCTGAAAAAATATGCATTGTACTTGGAGGATCTAGCTTATGCTAATTCCCCTCTCTGGACTGGAGCACTTGTTTAGTTTGGCCACCACAAACAGAAGTGAAACCATTCCTGTTGATCTCTTTAGTTACAGAAACATGGAGTAAATGGAGAAGTGTGTGTCGAGGCGTCCTCAAATGAAGACTGAGCTCCGCAAATATCCGTCTGTTTCTCAGAAACCCTGTCTCTCTAGAGAAAACCCCTTCGCTCTGTAGGAGGCAAAGTTTGGAAAACAATCTCTCATTTCAGGAAGGGAAGCTCAGGGTCAACCTTCTGGTTGCTTGAATAATCAGTGATTTAGAAGTATTTTATTATGACTTTGCTGAATGACAGACAGATATGATTAAAGATCAAGGATGTGACAATGACGGCGTGTTTAAACACAAACATGTGCCGTTTTTAATGCTTTTTTTGTTGAATTAGGTGTAAATGGAGTCTGGATTAAACCATTAGCGAAGGCTTTTTGACATCCTGACTGAGAGTAAAAATGAAACGCACTGAAAATATTATGAATAAAATTCCAAATTTATTTCGACACCTCGTCCTCCCCTGAACAAACCTCTCTTTCGTTTTTTCTCTCTCCGCTTCTCTTTATTCTTTTATCCTCCGACCACAGGAATGTTTCTCTTTCTCTCAGAAAGTTGTAAAGTGCTGAATCTGGGCTTGGGGTGCGTTTATACATGTGGTGGCTTCTGTCGTTCACTGGCCTTTCATATTTCTTTTCGTTATTTTCTCTCTGTGCAAAATCTTCTGTCATTTGTGACTCCGATTGGGACTATATATAAAATTATAAAAATAATTTTAAGAAAGAATAATAATCCCATCAATCTAGTTACAGTACATGTCGAAGGTCAATGAATTCAAGCTAACTATTTATTGTTCTGTGTGTGACTAAAAGGTAGGCAATATCTATGTTTCCATCCAAATATATTACATAAATTTATGTGCAAAACTGGAATATTGTATAAAAGATGCAAATAAAGCAGCGTTTCCATCCAACGAGTCAAAGAGAACAAAATCGTCACTTCCTGATTGACTGGCACCAAATATCAACAGTAAAAACAGAATTTACCGTGGTAGAAGAAGCTGCGTCAATCTTTCCTTTATTTAATAAATGTACTTGCGCCTCAGAAGACAAAGCTGACACACAATGAACACGTGGGGGTGTTTGAAGCCATGAGACGCAGAGACTCTTGACACACTCCAGATGCTCGGAGGTAGCCTAAATATATACACTACTACTGAAACAGTTAAGGCATTTTAAAATGACTAAAACAACATTTAAGACGTGTTATAGTGTGCTCAGCCTGCTGGTTTGTCCATTCACACACATTTTCATCATCATATGAAGACCTTTTTTTAATGTACATACTGTAATTTGTTCAGTAAAAGTGTTTCCATCGTAGTTTATGCGCATATTTTCTATCGAATAAAAGTTTAATCTACTCAGTTATGCGTGGTTTTTATGCATATTTTCAAAAGTTATGTGCATCATGACGTTTCCATCAATCGTTTTTATGCACGTATCCAAAATTGGCATTAAAATAGGTGTGTGGAAATGTAAGGCTAAGGCGAGAAATACCACTTCATCTTTAAAAAAGGGGAGGAGACCGACAGAAACTCCGAGTTTAGAGAATAAAACCTGCTCCTGACCAGGTTAGGTTCACAGAGTAAGTTACTACAGTAACTGACTCTGAGTTAAAGTTAACTCTCTTTCAGAAACAGGCTTGACTTACCCTGCTTTCTTGAGTTTAACAAACCTGCCATTTTGAAACGGAAAACCCAGAGTTTCTCTCATTTCAGGGTTAAAATACTCTGAGTTTTCACTTAACCTCCTTTCTGAAACAGGCCCCTGGTTGTACAAAAACGTTTATAATTTGGTCAGTTTCATCAGAAACGGGTCATTCTCATTTTGTATTCATTTTACAGTGGGGAAAATAAGTATTGAATACATAATTTTTTTTTCGTGGGAATAATATTTCTAATAAGCTGTTGACATGGAATTAAAGCAGATTTAAATAAAAACTCAATACAATCATAAAAATAAAACAAAACAAGCAAAATCTGATAAATGACTTCTGTGTAATAACACTGAAATGACACAAGGAGAAAGTGCTGAACTTCTGAAATGTATTAAATACTTTATATAAAAACTTTTATTTTGTTTTTTGGTGATGGCAGCTTATTGACGTCTCTTACGTTACTTGCTCAGGTGTGAGTTTTTTTTAAAGGCTTCAACACATTGTAAATATTGATGCTCTGTGGGTCTCGTCCATCAAATCTGAGCTTTAATTTGTAATCTCTATTGGATTAAAGTCAGGTGATTGGGTAGGCCATTGTACAGGTTTTTCTGAAAGCATTTGAGAGTTTCCTTGGCTTGGTTTTAGATCGTCTTGCTGAAATGGTTTGATCCTCCTGCTAATGTAAATGTGGGACTGAAGCAGCTAATACTCCTTTACAATGAGGAAGGGCAGAGGGTTGCTGAAGAACTACTAAGAGATTTCAGCTGCTGTCTGGGCGTTCACTGTCTTTCTACACCTCCCTTTCTTCATGTTCAATTTTTCCCTGTGTCATTTCAATGTATTACGCATAACTTCATTTCTTAACTAATTCAATGTGTTATGCTTGCATATATGTATTTCTTTGGTAGCTATCAACATCCAGTGTAAATTTGAAGTCAACGACACCTTTAGAAATATGTTTTCTGAGAAACGTTTCTGTGACGTGTTCAATACCTATTTTCTCGGCTGTATATATAGACCTTTTTCTTGGCTTCTGCATGGAGGGCGCCATAGCGACCAGCGTCTTCCGGTAGAATGTTTAGAACTTCCGCTTACATCGTTTACAATAGGTAATTTGCGATTTCGAATTGGGTTTTAATAGCGATTTTAGTGGATTACGAAGTGTTTCTGTTACACACAACTTTGGAAGGTGTGTGTTAAAGCCGTTATAATCTGTCAGATGTGGTTCAGTGCGAGAGAAAAACATTCTCCTGGTTCACGTGACTCCCGTCAGAAATACAGTGTGTTTGTGTGTTCCCGGCCTGTCAGCTATTAGCATTATAGAGCAAACCAGATTACTGGCATGAAAGTTAACAGGTATGTAAGCCATGCAGTTTACAAAAGTGACCAATAATAGTCTGTTACTGATACTCTGCTCGCCGTTTATGTTTATGTAAGTGGGACAGTACAGTAGGATGTATGTGTGTGTGTGTGTGTGTGTGTGTGTGTGTGTGTGTGTGTGTGTGTGTGTGTGTGTGTGTGTGTGTGTGTGTGTTAAACATTTTGGTGAATTGCATTGACTGTTGACTTTATCGATGACGAGGCTTCATTTAAATGGCACAAGATGCCTTCTGACAACGAGGGGAAATGCATAACAGCAGTTGTTTTCCATCCCATTAGATCGCATTTTTTCATTGATCAGTCCAGGAGGTGGCGCTGATCGACATCAGTATTGGTTAAAATACCTTAAAAGCCATAAAAAAAGTAGATTAAAACGATCATTTCAAAGCTGCCAAATGTGATCGTTTATACATGTCAGCTGTTGAGGAAGTTCTTAGCATTCTCCTTGCAC